GGTGAGGCCCGGGCGGCAGAGGGCGCCCGAGAGCCAGGGGCCGGGGCTGCGCTGCAACTCCCTGAGCCCCGGGGGCGCCTCGAGCCTGCGCCGGGGGTCCCGCTGCCAGTGAAAAGGAAGAACAATTACATTGTGAAAAAGAGCAGAGATAATGTCACACCCGCTGGTGCTTCTGAATGTTGTTTTTCAGGCCACCACCCTGGCCTCATTTTTGAAACAACAATAGGGCAAAACAACAGCTAGAGCCAGGGCCGGCATTGACACCTACCTGGAAATGAGGTTGAATTTGCAGGACCACGAAGCCCTGTCTGGATGGCTGTCTCTGGCCGGTTCCAGGCAGCTCTTCCGCGCTCTCAGGGGTGTTTAGTCTGGACTGTTCTGTATACAGTAATGCACCGCCGGTGCTTATCTTCAAGTGGCCACATTTGTTTATGCTTGACTCCCTTAATTTGATTGTGAGCTCTTGGAGGCAGGAGAAGTCTCTTTTAATTATTATTATTTTTTTCTTTGTAATTTCCTCGCAGTGCCTACTTGAAATTCCGCTGCCTCTGCTCACGGTAAGTACTCAGCAAATAATCATTAACCCAGCAATAACTTCTATCTTGTGAAATTGGTCGTTAAGTTTCTCTGTCTTGCCCTTGGGGACGGTATTTTGTGTCATGCGGAGAGAAAGGATGGATTCTCTCCCTGCAAACTGAGCCCCTTTTATTTCAGACCTAAAGAGGAAACTAAGTGTGGAATTTTTTTTTTAATTTTTTTTTGTTGTTGATGTGGAATTTGCCCAAAGCCCTTGTGAAACTACAGTAGTAGGCAAATAACCTCCTGCAGGCAAAACAATAATGATTGCTGATATTCACAGCACTTTCTAGGCACCATTCACTACTAGGTACTTATAGCCCTGTGACGGGCTGTCACTGTCCCCACTTTACAGATGAGGGAATGGAGGCAGGGCTCCATCTCAGCCTGCAAAGTCTGTGTTTTTACCAGGAAGTTGTATATATGTAAATGGATCTTCTATATAAGGGATTTGGGTTTGGGGGAAGCGGAAAGCGGAGGGGAGAGGGTTTTTATGTGTTTGCAACTATGGTTAGGGATGAAATTAGAGATGGGGCTGCAAGGGGGGCGGGTGGGCACCTGTTTCTGTATTTTGAGCCACTTTATGGCAGGACGAATGGGGATGATGAGAGGCTGCTAGAGCTGCTCTGTGGGCGCCTGAAAGGCTCTGGGCTCTAACAGGGCAGTCCTGGGACCCAGGCTCAATGCCAGTGTGCAGCGAGGGCCATTTTTCACAGCTCAAGAAGGACCCCTGTGTAGCTTTAACACCTGACAGGGCACTTAGTGGGAAAGCAGCAGGTTCACGACCAATGGGGGTGTCCCAGGCTGCTGGGCAGTGGCCGGGAGGCCGGAGCAACATGTCAGGTACACTACACATCATCAGTCGGCTGCCTCCTGCATGCCCCCTACTGGAGATTGAACCTACAACCTGGGCATGTGCCCTGACCGGGAATCGAACCATAACCTCTTGGTTCCCAGATCAACAGTCAACCACTGAGCAATACCAGCCAGGCCAGGTCTTCATTCTTGTGTTGTTTCTTTTTAACTCTTTAAGTCATCTTTATTGAGGTATGATTTACATACCATTGCATCCATTTAAAATGTACAATTCAGTAGTCCAATAAATGTATACACCCATGTAACCACGACCCCAATAACCATTTAGAACATGTCATCACTCCAAAGAGCACCTTCAAACCATGTTACAGCCAGTCTCCATATCCAGGCAACCACTGATCTGCTTTCTGTCACTATAGATTGATTTGGCCTGTTCTAGAATTTCATACAAATGGATTCATACAGTGGGCATTCTCTTATGTCTGGCTTCTCTTAATTATCCACATTATGGCTTACATGAGTAGTTCATTTCCTCTCCATTATTCCATTATATGAACATACCACAGTCTTTTATGTACTCACATATTGATGCATATTAGGGTTGTTTCCAGTTTGGAATTATTAATAAAGCTGCTGTGAACATTTTTGTACAAATCCTTTTATGAACATGAATTTTCATTCCTCATGGATAAATCCACAGGAAACTGCTAAACTGGTTTGTTTCCCAAGCAGATGTAACACTGTACACTCCCCCAGCAACGTATTGCAGGGTCACAGTTGCCCCACATCTTTGCCAGCACCTATTATGGTCAGTCTTTAATTTTAACCATTCTGGTGGGCATGTACTAGTATCTCGAGATTTTGATTTGCATTTCCCTGATGACTTATCATGTCAAGCATCTTTCTGTGTTTATTGGCCATATGTATACTTTTTTGTGATCTGTCTATTAAAACCCTTTTTATGGGCTGTCTTTTTTATATTAAGTTGTAAAAGAAGTTCTTTATGTATTTTGGATACTGGTCCTTCCTCAGATATTTGCTTGGCAAATATTTTCTCCCAGTCTTTCCAAGAGTTTTGATGAAGTCCAATTAATCTGTTTTTCTTTTATGGATAGTGCTTTTTTGTAGTCTGTTGGGAGGACTTTCCTTTCTCCTTTGAATCACCATCTCATCTGTTTGGGATCCCATCAGTCTGTGTGTATATCCTCAGGAACACCATGCTGTCTTGTCCGAGCTCTGACTTGTGTCCTCACCTTGGTGTGACCTGTGGTCTGCTTGGCTTCCCCTCCTCAGAGCCACAGGCAGCAACTGCCTGAGGCAGACACCGAGGCAGTCACGGGTCATCTTCCTGGGTACCGCCTGTTCTCAAGTGTCTGTTTCTGGTGTTTTGCCCTGTATTCTGCCTGTTTGTGGAAGGAAGTCTTAATTCATTTTGTATCCACAGTAGCTGGCACACAGGCTTCCAAAATGTTTGGTGAGTAGGCGAATCTTTGTTAGCACCTCTGGACGTGATCCACTGTAGTCTCTTTTGACTGGGGGAATCTATGGAGTCTGAGAGGTCCATCCTTCATTTGACTAGACAGTCCTTTTCCGAAGATGGTCATTAGTTCTTTACATCCTCAGCACCAGCCCACCTGGGTTCAACACATGCTTATTAAATGGGGAAATTGGGGTACAGAGAAGGAAAGGTCACATGACCAGGCAGCTGCTAAGCAAGCAGAATTGGGCCTCCTGTGTGGGGAGATTTCCACTGTACTAACTAGAAGGCAGGCACTGTCTCTTTCATCACTGGGTCACTCCCAACACCCCCAAACACTCTCTACAATGTACATTGAAGGCTCTACAATGTACATACTTGTTAAATAAATGACCAGAGGAATAAATTAAATCATTTTATTAAATGCTTTGGTCAGTTGGCTCCTACGTGTGGTATTAAGTGTGTGTGCATGTGTGTTCACAGAGACAGGACTGACCATTCCTACCCAGGCTCATGGGTCATAATCCCTCAGTAAATCTGTTTAAAATTTTCTCAGCTGCCCTCTAGTCTTAATCCCCACTAGGGGGCACGTGTGTCCCACAGAGAGGGTCAGTAGTCCCTGGGCGCAAGGACTTGTTTCCAGCTTAAGGCAATGGGTCCTTCTTGAAGCTGCCTCCTTGATCCCCATGTTCTGCGTCCCCCCTTTGCAGAAATCAAAACCTTTCTCCTCAGGCTCTCCCCTCCCCCTCCCCAGGGTAGAGGGAGGCCACAGAGTGGCAGTGGCTGTGAGTGATGACCTCGCTGTCTGTGTCCTGCCTGGCCACTGCTTCCTCCCTGAAGGGATGACAGATCCTGGAGAGGCAGCTGCCTCGCTCCCCTCACCGGCGGGCGGTGGGTGGCGGGCAAGGACTAGTCCTGTGTGGCCCTGAGCCTGGTCTGCCCTTGAACCATAAGTTCCCGAAGAAGAGCCCTGGGAATAACCCTGGCAAACCCCGCCCAGCCCACCTGCAAAGGCAGCATCCAGGTAGATAGGTCACACCTGACTCTAGACTCGGGTCCTTGCGTCCCAACAGCTTCACAAGCTTTGGCGTCAGGCTGCCTGTGCAGTCCTGGCCTTACCATGGCTGTGAGCGACCTTGAGCCAGTTCTGCGAATCCCACTTTCCTTCTTGGGTAAATGGGGGCAGCGGTCCCTGCCTCATACAAGATGCATTATAAGTGAAGCCCTTGGCACAGTGCCCAGCACATACTAAATGTCTGAGACATCAGCCATTGTTAATAATACTAGTAGCATCACTACGTTATATTAGTGTAAAACACAGTGGAAGCCACTTGGCCGCTCTCCTTTGAAGGCTCCCAGAGAAGCATTACTCTCCTCCAGCTCAACGTCCGGGCTTCTTCCTAACAGTGAGGCCCCTGCAGAGGGGCCCGGGAGCCTGCAGGACCAGTGGGTACTCTGCTCTCATGCCATTGTGCTTGCCTCATCTGGGGCTAGGGCCTCAGCTATATACCCTCCAGGACCATCCAGCCCACTTTCACGAGAAGCACACGTTTGGATGGACAGGTACTCCCCAAGGTGGCATCTGCATCTAAGGTGACACAGTACAGCAGCTGCTGCTACGGCTGCTTCCCTTGTCCCTCACCTCATCAGCTCTCTGGTCATGTTCCGATCTCCAGGAGAGACTGGCAGCCGCCCCGAGTCTCAGCCACAGAGGCAGCAGACAGCGGCACCTCCCTGGTCCGGGTTGCTGCCCTCAGCTAGCCTGCAGCTCGGAGCAGCCTTTTCCCTGTCACTCAGGCTCCCACTAGCAGAGATTAGCATTCAGACAGAGGATGGAAAGCAACAGGGCAGCCACCTCTTGTCTCCTCTGGGAGCTGAGATTCACTCAGGAAGTAGAGCCAGTTGCTGGGGAGGTGTCCAGGCCAGGACCCCACTGGAGGCTGGCACAGGGTTCTGGGCTCACAGAGGCTACCCTAGGGCTCTCTCATACAGTCTTACTGGGTGCCGGGTCTTCCTAGGTGCCTCCTTCCCAGCAGTCACACCCTCTGCTGTTCTCTAATTTGGTTCAGACTTTCCCACGGCCCAGCTATGGTGTACATGGAAAGACAGGGCAGGGCGGCCATGGGGTGACGGGGTGAGCAACACCAACGGTTAGGAGCCTACGAATTGTTCTGAAGTTACTAATGTTCAGTAATTGACGATGCACAATCACCCTAGCTCACATGTGTGGAACACTCATTATCCAGTTGAACCCACACAGCCGCTCTATGAGATGGGCCAGGCGTGACCCAGCTCTCGCCTCAGCTCGGCTCTCCACTTGCCCTCACTCCCTCCCTCCTGTTATGGTCAGTCTCCCAAGCTCCCGGACTTCCCTGCTCCCATTTCCAAGCAGTGGCTCTTTCTAAGGAAGTGGAAGGGGAGGAGGACTCTGACTCTTGGAGACATCGGGTCCACCCCCGTCCATGGGCTTCACACCAACCCCTGTGACAGTGGGCCAGGGAAGGGGCTCCCAGTCCCAGGCAGCCTTCTGCAGCGAGTTCTAGGCCGAGGGTAGCCACTTTCTGTGCAGATTGTGCAGACAGCCTGGGGCTGCAAGGCCCCAGGAAAAAGAGGCGAGCGTGGGCCGAGTGTGGGGGAAAGGTGTAAACAATCTGCTCCCACTACAGCAGCCTGCACCCTAGGGAGAGCCCCTCCCTCCCAGCCCA